ACCTGACCCAAACTGACCAAAGAGGTATTCCATACCACAGCACGTCATGCCCAGGATGTAACTGGGAGTAGCCGGAAGGGCTGGGAGACTGCAGGGTTGGAGGAGGTATGGTCAGAGCTTGGTCGGGCTCTGGGGGCAGATCGGTCAGCTGGTGGTGAGATGATGTAGTCTCTTCCCTTGTTATTTCCTTTACCATTATTATCATTGGTGGTAGCAGTAGTGATTTGTGTTATACCTTAGTTACTAAACAGTTCTTATCTCAACCCGTGGGAGTTGCATTCTTTTATTCTCCTGTCCCTCCGAAAAGGGCAAGAAAAGGGGGGGAAGTGAGCGAACGAATTACCTGACTGGGTTTAAACCACAACAGTAGGATATGAAGTGCTTCTGCCAGAATGCAGAGCAATGGCTTTTGGTTCTCTCTGTTACAGAAAATAACCCAAGTTTGAACAATAGTTGTTTTACCTTCTGTGAGTTCTTTATTCCCTCCTTGTCCAAAAACAAGGAGTGACTGAGCTCACTGCTTTCTGTGGAAGGAAAGAGGGGAACGAAGTCCAGGTCTCCCTCAGCATATGTCTAAAGCATATGTACTCACATGAAGTGACTGGGGCGAGGGAATCTATGGGATGATCCTTTGTGAGACATCAGGGAACAACCAACCTCCCACATGGCTCCATTCCTTCAGAGAGGAACCACGGAGAGCCAAAGGAAGGGATGTGACAGAGGAGTCTCAGGCGATGTGCTGGGCTGAACATTCTCCAAGCTGGACAAGCCAAAGCCTCTCCACACACGGTTGCCTCTGCCCAGGCAGAGTGTGTCTGGAAACACCAGATGTTTCAAGAACACATTTCCTCTTGGATCAGTTTGCTTCCCAAAGGCACAACCTACTGAACTAGACGCTAGAACTAGACATGAGAACTAAATCAGCTCTTTGACTTCTACCCGCAGAGCTTTTAAAACAAATACACAAGTCAGTCTTCCTGCTGGTAGCTACCGGCCAAGAGAGCACAACTCCAGCAGTTTGGGTAACAGAGGAATTATTCCTTGGCTGACTCAAGAAGGACAGTCTTCATTTAACGCTTGTAAAGGCTTTGCAAACATAGAGGTAAACTGCAGCACTGGTAAAAGAGCCAGAAACTGGATCCAGCACTAATCCCCTTGTACGACCACCAAACAATAGGAAAGAACCTGGCATTCAACAGAAGAAACTTCTCTGTCAGTGAAAGAAGTGGTTTTCTACAGAGTGATGCCAAACCAGACCATGACCGGAAAGGTCTCTGCAAAACACTTGTGGGTTTCGTGTTTGTTTTGTGTTGGTTGGTTGAAGGGGGTTTTGTTTTAATTAAAAAGAGCAGTTATCAGATGATTTCAGTGTTCTGGAAAGCTTCAGTTTCAGTTCAGCATCACCTAAGCAGATGTGATGGAAGTTACTGGGCATCTCATTTCTCCCCTGGGCAGTGACAATGAAAGCTTTATATTTCATGGCTTTGTTTCACATTTCAAACCACACAACTACTTCAGAAGTGTGCTTAGATTACACTTAGCTGACAAAAGACCACAGCTAATCCACTGCTACTCTTCCAAAAGCACTCTGTTTGCAATACCACACAGCTCCCAGCGACAAGCAGTATGATTTAACAAGCAGTATATTCCTATACACATTATGGTAGAGTTCCTCTTCTTCAAGGTTAATGTGGTTCCTTCCTGACTAGCAAACTTACTGAAACTAAAGTATAAGCAGAATTCCCAACATCCTTCCAGAAAAGCATCATTCTGTTCCACAGACTAAATACTAAACCAACTTTCAGCTTGATCTGCTGGATGTTATGCTCCTGCCCCAGCATGTTAGAAGTTTTCCATCTTCCCTCCATCCTCAAAAACCCACCCTCCCATATGTTCCTTTATAAATCATCTCCTTTGGAGAATCCCATCTTCAATCACACGTTCCATTTCACATAGCAGTTAAACTCTCCCCCAGAACACGGGCAGCAGAAGTTAACAGACGGCAAGTTAAAACCCAAAGCTTTCACAGAAGACAACACACAGCACAGGACCAGCATCCCTCAGACTCAAGGTCAGCCTGCCAGAGAACAACCCCATCACTGAGATTATTGAACACTGCTTAAAAGCCTTTAACATTGTTTTTACTGGTGATAAGCACATTTAAACATCATAAAACACAGCGGAATGCAAGGTCATGCATTTGGAGAACACCAGCCCTACTACAGGAAAGGGAATTGCATTGCAGAAGGCAATGACATTAAGGGCTTTGGGCAGCACTGCAGATATCACATGAACATTAATTCCCAACGTAAGTCTAGAGCAAAAAAAGGACTGAGAGCCTTGGAAAGGAATATTGAGGAGAATTATCTTTTCATATCACAGCAGTGAGATCAATAATGGGCTGTCATTCTTCCACTCAGGGACCAACACTAACATGCTCTCGAAAGCCAGAAGTGCTGGTAGAAACAACTACGAGCGTGGCCACAGAGCTGAAACACCTTAAAGTCAAGTCTTGTTAACAAGGAAGGTAAAGGGATTACCTTCATTACCAAAGACTATCAAACAGAACGGAATCCTGCTCCTTTTATTATGTAACAAAATACACAGAAAGCCACAACAACAAGGAGCTCGGTCAGGAAAACTCTGGTTTTGTTAAAGGCTCACTTCATTTCGGAAAGCGGAGATTATTCCTGTCATGAATTATTCACAAACATCCAACCCTGTCACTTGTTGACTGTGGGTTCAAGCACCGGTTATTAAATCCAGCACCATCAATGATTAGACAGGACTCCGCAGTGACGGATGTGGCCAAGAGCTGCAATCCTCAAGCCCTCCCGACCTCCAACCCTGGAGCCAACTGCCTGAAGAGGTGTGATGAAAACAGCACGACCAGACCACACCGTAGTCACTCCAAACCTTACTTTCAGTAAGTAAAGGAACCGAACAGGAATACACAGCCGAGCTCCCTGTGCAGGATGGGTTCACATTATCGCAGCAGCACAAACTGATGGCTGTAAAACGGCTCCAGCCCCCTTCTGCCAAGCCCCAAACAGAGAGGACACAAGGGCAGCAGCTGACCCCCTTTCCCCAAACACAACAGGTGATGAGAGCCCAGAGGTTAGGGGCAAGACACGCAGCCAAATAACACAGTGCCCCAGGCCCCTGACATACCCAGACCTGTGGGGCAGGGCAGGTGGAAGGTTTAGTGACCCTTCTCCCCACTTCACGTGGTGACCAGCCTCTCACACACACAGCGTCCATCTCTCCCCACGGCTCCTACCTGACCCTAACACAGCAGCCAGCCCCCCCACACACTTAATCACCCCCAAACCTGCAGCTCAGACCCCCCCACACCACACAAAGCCCCCCCCCCCCCGATCTGTCCCTCAACCGCTCCCCAAACCCAACACACATCCCTCCCGGAGGTGATGCTCAGCCGCCGACCCAAACACCCTCCCAGCCCTGCTGAGCCTCCACACGCAGCACCCCTCAACCACGCCGCACAAACCCTTCCCATATACACAGCCCCTAAAGCCTGCCGTAGAGACCCATACACACAACCCCCCTTGAACCCTTCTGTATAGACCCCCCAAAGCCTGCTGCAGACCCTCACACAGAGCCCCCCCGCTGCACAGACCCACACACAACCCCCCCCAAATCCTACTGTATGCACACCCAAACTCCTGCCCTGCACACCCCACACACCCCCTACCCACAGCAGAGCCCCCTCACCCACAGCCCCTAAATCCCCCTGTACAGACCCCCCCAACCCCACCTTCACAGACCTACACCCACACAGCCCCCCCAAACCCTGCTGCATAGACCCCCCATACACCCCCCCAAACCCACCTACACCCAAACAGCCCCCCCAAACCCTGCTGCACAGACCCCCCATACACCCCCCCAAACCCACCTACACCCACACAGCCCCCCCAAACCCTGCTGCATAGACCCCCCATACACCCCCCCAAACCCACCTACACCCACACAGCCCCCCCAAACCCTGCTGCACAGACCCCCATACACCCCCCAAACCCACCTCCACCCACACAGCCCCCCAAACCCTGCTGCATAGACCCCCATACACCCCCCCAAACCCACCTCCACCCACACAGCCCCCCAAACCCTGCTGCACAGACCCCCATACACCCCCCCAAACCCACCTACACCCACACAGCCCCCCCAAACCCTGCTGCACAGACCCCCATACACCCCCCCAAACCCACCTACACCCACACAGCCCCCCCAAACCCTACTGCACAGACCCCCATACACCCCCCCAAACCCACCTACACCCACACAGCCCCCCCAAACCCTGTTGCATTGACCCCCATACACCCCCCCAACCCCTCCTTCACAGACCTACACCCACACAGCCCCCCCAAACCCTGCTGCATAGACCCCCATACACCCCCCCAAACCCACCTCCACCCACACAGCCCCCCCAAACCCTGCTGCATAGACCCCCATACACCCCCCCAACCCCTCCTTCACAGACCTACACCCACACAGCCCCCCCAAACCCTACTGCATAGACCCCCATACACCCCCCCAACCCCTCCTTCACAGACCTACACCCACACAGCCCCCCCAAACCCTACTGCATAGACCCCCATACACCCCCCCAAACCCACCTACACCCACACACCCCCCCCAAACCCTGCTGCACAGACCCCCATACACCCCCCAAACCCACCTCCACCCACACAGCCCCCCCAAACCCTGTTGCACAGACCCCCATACACCCCCCCCCCCCAAACCCTACTGGACGCCCCACACACACAAAGATCCCACAAACACTTCCCGCCCCCCCCCCAAATCCCCACACAAACCCCACAGCGCCCCACAACCAACCCCTCCCCACACAAACCCCCATCACATCCCCTTGATCCCCGTGACCGCCTCCGCCTGTGGCCTGCGCGGAAAGGCCGCAGCGGCCCGGCGGGGATCGGAGCAACACCGAGCCGTGCTCGGAGCCTCGGGCCGGGGCCGGCACTCACTCGGGCAGGTAGGTGGAGGAGAAGCTGCTCCAGCGGTGTAAGGTATAACCCAACACCCGGCTCTCGGAGCCCGCCGGGCCCCCCGCCGCCGCCGCCATCTTGTTGTCGGCAGCCGCGGCCCCGGCAGCGACCGCGAGGGGCGGGGCCCGGCTCTTAAAGGGGCCGCGGCGGCTCTGGAGGGGAGGTGGGGGGCCGGGAGTGGAGGGAGATGGGGCAGCAATGGGGCAGCAATGGGGCAGCAATGGGGCAGCAATGGGGCAGCAATGGGGCAGCAATGGGGCAGCAATGGGGCAGCAATGGGGCCTGTGGGGTCTAAAGGGTGCTGTGGGGAGCCGGGGGGAGTGGAGGGAGATGGAGTGTGGGGCAGCAATGGGGCCTGTGGGGTCTAAAGGGTGCTGTGGGGGGCCGGGGGAGTGGAGGGAGATGGGGTGTGGGGCAGCAATGGGGCAGCAATGGGGCCTGTGAGGTCTAAAGGGTGCTGTGGGGGGCCGGGGGAGTGGAGGGAGATGGGGTGTGGGGCAGCAATGGGGCCTGTGAGGTCTAAAGGGTGCTGTGGGGGCCCGGGGGAGTGGAGGGAGATGGAGTGTGGGGCAGCAATGGGGCCTGTGAGGTCTAAAGGGTGATACCTCTTGGAGCTGTGGAGGCTGCGTTGTGCTGTGGGGCTCATGGGTGTCCCCCATGGGGTTGCTGTGGGGCTCATGGGGATGCCCGTGGGGCTGAGGAGGGCTGTGGGGCTCAGGGAGATGCCCTGAAGAGCTGAAGTGGGGCTCAGAGCGATGCACCATGAGGCTGCGTTAGGTTGTGGGGCTCATAGGGATCCCCATGGGGTTGCTGTGGGGCTCAGGGAGATGCCCTGAAGAGCTGAAGTGGGGCTCAGAGCGATGCACCATGAGGCTGCGTTAGGTTGTGGGGCTCATGGGGATCCCCCATGGGCTTGCTGTGGGGCTCAGGGGGATGTCTATGAGGCTGAGAAGGGTTGTGGGGCTCAGAGAGATGCTCTGAAGAGCTGAAATGAGGCTCGGGGGGGGGGGGGGGGGGATGCACCATGGTTCTGCATTGGGGTTTAGGACTTAGGGGATCCCCCATGGTGCTGCTGTGGGGCTCAGGGGGATGTGCCATGGGGCTGCATTGGGCTGTGGGGCTGGAATGGGATGTTCCCGTGGCCGTGGGTCAGTGCTTGGAAAAGGGATCTAGGGAGACCCAACGGGACGTGATCCCACAGCGCTCCTGCACCGGTCCCTGTGCCGTGGGTCTCCCACTGCCATCCCCTTCTCCCCTCTATAGCCCGGTACTTGCCTGTGTAATCCCACACTTCCAAGCAGCTTGTTTTGACACTTCTGGCAGTGATTAAGCCCTGGGTGGGTTTGGCTGTGGGGGTTTGCATCCCTGAGAAGGAGTTAAAGGCGTTAAAGTCACCGCAAATTACAGTAAACAGATAAATACAAGCAACTAAGAAGTGAAATCAAAGTGATGCCCGCGTTCAGCTCATGACCAGCGGTCCCTTTGGAAAGCACCCGCAAGCTGAGGGTCAAGCGCGGCTCCTTTCCTTGGGTCACTCTTTCCACCCATCCACCAGCTCATCCGTGGGCTGCGGGGAGAGGAGCCCGGAAGGTCCCGGCTGTGGGAAGGAATTCGAGTGTTTCCCCACATCTTGTGCCGTGTTTAATCACTTATTTAGCTCCTTCTGCCTTCTGCGGTGGATTTTAGGCAATCCCATGTGGTTAATGGCAGAACCCCAGGTTGGAGGGGACCTCGAGGATCATCTGGTCCTGCCTTTCCAGGTAAAGTATGACCTAGGTTCAGATGTCCCAGCACCCTGTGCAGATGAATCTTAACAGTGTCCAACACTGAGGGATCCATCACTTCCCTGGGCAGGTTATTCCAATGCTCTCATTGGGAAAACTTTCCTCTTGTGTCCAGTTGGAATGTCCCCAGCAGTAACTTGTGCCCATCACCCCTCATCTTTTCCACATGACTCCTTGTCAACAGGGAGTCTCCATCTCTGTAGCCACCCTTTAAATACTGGAACATGGGGATAAGGTCTCCCCTGAGCCTTCTTTTCTCCAGGCTCAGCAGTCCCAGCTCTCTCAACCTTTCCTCACACGGCTTCCCAGTCCTTGGATCATCTTTGTGACCCTTCTCTGGACCCTCTCCAGCCTGTCCACATGTACAGCACAGACCAAAACTGAGCCCAGTATTACAGGTGTGGCCTGACAAGCACTGAGCAGAGTGGGACAATGACATCTTCAGCCCTGCTGGTGACGTCCTTGTTGATGGTCCCCAGCATCCTCCTGGATTTCTTTGCCACAGCAGCACACTGTTCACTCCTATGGAGGTTGTGTCTGCCAGGACCCCCAGGTCCCTTCCCACAGAGCTGCTCGCAGGGCAGATCCCAGCCTGTGCTGCACTCCGGGATTGGGTTTTCCCAGGTGCAAGACCTTCCACTTGTCCTTGTTGAGCTCCACAAGGTTCTTGTTAGCCCAATATCCAGTCCAGGTACTCCTGCTGAAGTGTCACCTTCCCCGCTCAGTTTGGTGTCATCAGCAGACTTCATCAGGGTGCACTTGATCACAGAACCCCAGCCTGGTTTGTGTTGGAAGGGACCTTAAAGCTCACCCAGCTCCAACCCCTGCCACGGGCAGGGACCCCTTCCACTAGAGCAGCTTGCTCCAAGCCCCTGTGTCCAACCTGGCCTTGAACACTGCCAGGGATGGGGCAGCCACAGCTTCTCTGGGCACCCTGTGCCAGGGCCTCAGCACCCTCAGATCACTCATGAAGATGCTAAACAGCTATGAAAACATTAACCATTTCCTCCCTTGCTGTTGATGCTGCTGAATAATTCACTGGTGCCTTTGGTACCTCTCTGGGTCTGCAGCACCAGGCTCAAGTTTGGAGGGATCCGTGAGGATCTCCAGACCTGCACCACGTTCAGTGCTTTGTCCCACTGCATAGCTGCATGCCAGGAGGCTGGCTCCAAGCGCCTATGGAACCAACACCTACATTCCCTATCCTCTGACACGTTTCTCTATGTGAGGTTATCGCAGTGTTTTCCCTGGAGGTCATTCCCCCAGACCAAAGCACATCCCTGGGGCTGCTTGAGAAACGAGAGGAGATCTTTCCAGAGCAGGGCACCAAACACAGGAAGCCAAACAAACAAGCAGCTGCGTGCTGGGATGACAGCTTGGGGAGGTATTACCAGGCAGGACAGCAATGCCTGCCTCGATTAAATTAGCACAAGGCTCTTTTTATTTCCCCCCCCCCCCCCCTTTATTTTAGGCAAGCGAGTGAGAATGTGGCAGCGGGATCTGCCTGCGGATGGAACACTTGTGCTGCAGCCTTGAGCATCAACTGGGGGTTATAAAAAGCAAGAGGCAGCAGCGAGGGCTTCATCTCCAGACCCTTCCCAGGAGAGGGGCTCGCAGGGTTTTCACTGCTCTCAAAGCCACACGGTTCTGCAGTGGTGCTGTAGAGTCCGTATGTGAGGCACCAAGACCCACGTCTCCCTTCACTGATGCAGCGATGGGGCTTTGTGAAGTTTGTGGCCTTCCCGTGACATTTTGGCTTATCAAACCTGCTGCCTGTAGGCAGCCCCCTCCCCAGATTGCCACAGGACTATTAAAAGAAAGCACAGAATGATCGAATTGGAGAATCAGCTGGGTTGGAAAAGACCTTCCCATCCCTTGTTCCTTGGGAGCAGAGCCCAGCCCCTCCTGGCTCCATCCTCCTCTCAGGCACTTGGAGGGAGCCATCAGGTGCCCCCTGAGCCTTCTCTTCTCCACACTGAACCCCCCAGGTCCCTCAGCCCTTCCCCATCACACTTGTGCTCCAGGCCCTGCACCAGCTCCACTGCCCTTCTCTGGCCCCGCTCCAGCACCTCAATGTCTCTCTTGCAGTGAGGGGCCCAGAATTGAACACAGGATTCGAGGTGCAGCCTCACCAGTGCCCAGTGCAGGGGCACAATCCCTGCCCTGGCCCTGCTGCCATGCTGGTGCTGATACAGGCCAGGATGCTGGGGGCTTCTTGACTGCCTGGGCACAAGCTGCCCATAGTCAATCAGCTCCCCCAGCTCCTTCTCTGTGGGCAGTTTTCCAGCCTCTCTTCCCCTATGTGTAGCATTAAATAGTTTACTAAGGTTCTCACTAATAATACACCCCCAGCCCCAGAGGCAGGGATGCACCTCGTTGTTGAAGCCTCTCTAACAACCAGCCCAAGAGGAGCAATGCCATATAAAACCTGTGACCTCCAAATAGGAAATTCAGGGAGCTGTGAGTGAGTGGTGGGTGACAGCCCCATAGCAGCCAGGAGGCGGCAGAGGAAGAGGAGGAGGAAGAGGAAGAGAAAGAGGAAGTAAAGGAAGGCGATCCAGCAGCCGCTTGCTCACCGCTGCACTGTGCAAACCACCCCAGGAGTTTCTCTGCCCTGGTATCCTGTTACCAATTGAATCAAGACCTGGATGCCAAACCAGCTTATTTTTAGCACATTTCAGACTCAAAGCGAAGTGAATGCTGGTGAAATACGCAGTACTGACAGCCCTGGAGAGCCTTTATTCATCTGCAGCATAGGCAGCAGGGAAAGCTGCGAGGAGGCAAAGCAATCCTGAGCTGCAAGCTGGAGCCCTCCTGGTTTCTCAGCCTCCCCAGTGCTATGCAGTTACTGGGAGAGGGTTTTTCCACGCTCTGAGCAGACTCAGCATGGTGAGGAGGAGCGTGGTGAGCAGGGGAGCAGCATCCTGCCCGTCTGGACAGCCTGGAGCCTCCAGCTGAGCTCTTTGCATTGCCGTCAGGGAGGCTGATGGGGCTCAACTGCAGCAGCAGTGGGGCCATAAAGATAGGAAAGACTCAGAAACAGTGAGTATCTGAGCCCTGCTCTGCTGGTCCAGGGCCATGCTGTGTTTGCAGCACTCATGAAACACTGAATCCATGCAACCTGGGGAGCCCAATGGCACCAACACCATCCCAAGATTCAGATCCACTGCTTTGGGGAACCCCAAAGAGGGCACTTAGGAGGCAAACACCATGCAGAGCAGTCCTATTCCTGACCCCCTCACTCGGGACCTTGCTGAAACCCTGCAAGTGTTCCAGGCCAGGTTGGGCACAGGGGCTTGGAGCAAGCTGCTCTAGTGGAAGGTGTCCCTGCCTG